CAGTTATTTTGAGTATTGGATATTTTATTTTGAAGATAGGTAGTTTTACATTTACCAGCTTCAGTATTAATACGCATTAATGTTAAGGAACTATTTTATAGAGCAGCATAGTGTTTTCTCAATAAAAGAAATTCAGAGAACGGTTGTAGATGTTGGGTAAATCCGCCAATTTTCTTTATACCTTTATTTAATACTTAAAAATGTATGAGTGGGGCCGGGAGCGGTGGCTCAAGCCTGTAATCCCAGCACTTTGGGAGGCCGAGGCGGGTGGATCACGAGGTCAAGAGATCGAGACCATCCTGGTCAACATGGTGAAACCCCGTCTCTACTAAAGATACAAAAAATTAGCTGGGCATGGTGGCGCGTGCCTGTAATCCCAGCTACTCAGGAGGCTGAGGCAGGAGAATTGCCTGAACCCAGGAGGCGGAGATTGCGGTGAGCCGAGATCGCGCCATTGCACTCCAGCCTGGGTAACAAGAGCAAAACTCCGTCTCAAAAAAAAAAAAAAAAAAAAAAAAAAAAAAAAAATGTATGAGTGGAGAGAGAGAGAGGGAAAGAAAATAAGAGACAGAGATAGAAAACGTGTTAAACAACAACAGCAACAGCTGGTGACTCTAGCCGATGGATACGTACGAGTTCACTGCTATTAGTCTTCCAATTTTCCATGGGTTCCACATTATTTGAAATAAAATTAAATATGCTTGATACAATTTTCTGAAATGACTTTTCATATCCAACTTCTTCAGGAGATTTTAGTTCCTGAGAAAATATTTTTGATATGCAACCAGCAAAAATCAGTCCAAATGCAAATATAAAAGAAGAAATAATATAGCTTGCAATGTTAATCATTTAACAAATAGTAATAATTAGCACTGGATATCTCATTAGACAGTGGATGATAATATACTGAGGTCAAAAAGATGGGCCGCTATGACGTGTCCCGTCAGTCTAAGGGATATTAAGTTTAATTCAATGATTCCTAACATTTTGCTTATACTCTTTGTACGTTCAGTTCTACTGAAAATTCACGTTTACTATTATGGCAAATATTTTATTTCACATATTTCAATATTTTATGAATTTCATATATATATATATGTATATATATATATATACGTATATATATATATATATATATATATATATATATATATATCAGTATTTTAGATAAAAGTAACGTAGGCCAGGCACTGTGGCTCACACCTGTAATCCCAGCACTTTGGGAGGCCGAGGTGGGTGGATCACGAGGTCAAGAGACCCAGAGGATCCTGGCTGACATGGTGAAACCCCATCTCTACTAAAAATACAAAAATTAGCCTGGCATGGTGGTGCTCACCTGTAGTCCCAGCTACTTGGGAGGCTTAGACATGAGAATCCCTTGAACCTGAAAGATGGGAATTGCAGTGAGCTGAGATTGCACCACTGCACTCCAGCCTGGGGACAGACTGAGACTCTGTCTCAAAAAGAAAAAAAGGAATGTATCGCCACCTTGGAATAGGACTACTAACAGCTAGTGAGAAAGAATAATTATCATATATATTATAAACATGTTTATGCATTTATTATAATGATATGCATTAGTATATTTTAGTATATATTTAACATATTTTTGGTGTATTTTATATCTGCACAGATTGTCAAGGCCATTGAGAATTTGCAAATAAAATTGTATCATGAAGTGATCTTCACAACGAATTTTATTTTGTGAGAAGGAATTTAAGAATAGGATATGTACTAAACATATGATTTTCAAGAAGACATATCAATATTTATGACTTCTTTCTTTATAAAAAAAACTCATAAATACTGCTTTTTAATTAAATACCATGTTTTAAACATGATTTTATGTTTGTAATTGTGTATATTTCTAATGTTTTGGGTTTTTTTGTTCTTATTCTCTTTTATTACTCTCTTTTATGTAAAATCACTCTCACATGGTCTAGAAAATATTAGGTATGGATGTTCTTATCTGCTTAGTTGGCCACTTAGCCCCTTGTTTATGAATATTAAATTCCAGACTATTTTTCATTTTCCCCACACTACAGAAAAAGTGATGAATTCATTTTGTAAGACTGATGAGGTGATCCTCTGTAATAGTTTAGGAACCTGAAGCACAAAAGAAGTTAAATAACTTACCTAAAGTCATACATCTACAGAGTTAGTAAGAGCTGGATGTTTTCTTTTTTTCTCTCACTTTTTGAGACAGAGTCTCACTCTGTCACCCAGGCTGGAGTATTGTGGTGCAATCTCGGCTCACTGCAATGTCTGCCTCCCAGGTTCGAGTGATTCTCATGCCTCAGCCTCCGGAACAGCTGGGATTACAGGTCTATGCCACCAGGCCAGACTAATTTTTTTATTTTTAGTAGAGACAGGGTTTTACCCTGTGTTGGCTGGGCTGGTCTCAAACTCCTAACCTCTGATGATCCACCCACCTCAGCCTTCTAATGTGCTGGGATTACAGGAATGAGCCACGGCACCTGGAGGGCTAGGATTTTAACATTAACAGTTTAGTTCCAAAGTCAATTATTTTAACCGCTATGACTATTGTCTCTTGAGGTTATATAGCCTAATTTGCTATATTGGTTATTGGATTTGGAGAAAAATCAGGTTTTGTTTTCAAAGAACTATTTTCCAAGCTATTTAATAGTATGAAATAATTTTTGTTTGAATATTTTCAATAATATTCTTGTTCACATTTACATTTAGTAATAAGAGAGCTTCATTTAGACGGTATGACTAGAATTTCATTTAATTAAGAAATATATCCTTTCAGATGAAATATGTGACACAGACAAGTAGTGTGATTGAATAATTTATTCTTATGAAATGAAAAATTACTCATTGACATTAAAAATATATCTTCTAAAAATAATTATTAAATTTTGCCAGTTTGAAGGTATATGATAAGCAAAATAAAAATTGTGTGTATAACCAAGATGAGTAATATTTTTTAGTCATAGAAAAATTATTATACTATACTACTACACGTAAGAATAATTTCATTTATAAATGTAAGTAAACTATATTTATTTTAATTTAGACCATATAGTTCTCATAAAAAATATATAAAGGTAATTTTTTCAGCAGATTATAAACTTAGGAGTTGCATCATTTGACAGTGGCACATTTATGCAGATAATAGAAAAGAAGTTGAGAATCTTCAAGCTCCTATTCCAGTATCTTTCTATTATAATATTCTTTCTTATGGATCACGAGGTCAAGAGATCGAGACCATCCTGGTCAACACGGTGAAACCCCGTCTCTACTAAAGATACAAAAAATTAGCTGGGCATGGTGGCACGTGCCTGTAATCCCAGCTACTCAGGAGGCTGAGGGAGGAGAATTGCCTGAACCCAGGCGGCGGAGGTTGCGGGGAGCCGAGATCGCGCCATTGCACTCCAGCCTGGGTGAGAAGAGTGAAACTCCGATTCAAAAAAAGAAAAGAAAATCATTTTTAAAATGTCTTCATTTTTAAAACTTCCTATGTTGTTTACAAAAGAAGGTATTCTTCAATCCCCTCAGTGAGACACTCATATGATTGAGGCAACTCATACAGTATGTGAGTAATGGCCTTTTAATTGTGTGATATGTGAGAGTACGATTCTGATGATCTATTTCACTCATTCTATCACTGTTTTGAGCTACTTCAGAGCTGCAAAATTATTTCTCAATACCTCTCATACAGAAATAGTTTAGGATTAAATTATGAATAGTAGGGTTATAGTTAGGAAGGCAAATTAAAACCAATGTTCTTATCCAAATACCAGATAAATATGGTAGCTACTATTACTGATATATCTTACTTAATACTGTGAATCTTGATTTTTTTTTCTAAAGACATTGTGCTAAGAACCCATGAAAGTAAAACTTTCTCATCATTCAGATACTTTGCACTCTATAGTTCTATCTACTATAAATAATACTATTTGAAAAGTTGATGAGGATAGAAAGAAAAATTGAATTCAAATATTTTTAGAATTTTCTGGTGCAGCATATATACATTTCAGCTTTGTATAACGTTTTGTATACCGTACCATGCTGGGATTATACATCTTATTACATTTTTTTTGAATGGTTATACTACAATATATGCAGTTTCAACATCTATGAATAATCTGCATTAGCTTAATTTATGTGCATTGGTTTGGTTTATGTGTATAATTTTGGAGGTATGACTATCTTATGAATAAGACAGATGCACATTTAAATCTTTAAAGATCCTAGAAATAATTTAATTATGATTCTGTTTAAATAATCAGAGAAGCAGTTTGTTTCTAACAGAAAATTTAAAAAAAATTCTGAGAAAATACACTACTTTTCACATCCACTTTCCCACGCACAAATCTATTCATCTATCAACCTGTCCTTCTACCATCTCTGTCTCACTCTGTCTCTCCCTATATCTACATGTACTTATATCTATAATAGGTATACACATACTCACATATATATATATATATATATACATACATACATGTATATATTTATGTATCCTTAAGCCCACAGTTTTACTCCATGTTTATCTAGATTATGGAAATAACTACATGAGTATCTCTACTTCATTTTAAAGCATTTATCTGAAGTCTAAAAAAACTCTACAATAAAACTATAGTATTAAAATTTATAACAAAATTTATGAAATATTTGAATATATTAATTATTTGAATCTGTCCAATTTTATAAAACATGCAAGGACAAAAGGAATATTAGTTAAAACTTCTGATTGCTTCTCAATAGGCTTTAATTATCCACTGAATGTAATTGTTATGACTAGGTCAGTTACGACTCAGTGTCTTATTTTCCATTAATATAAAAAGGGCACAACGTATAAGCGACATACAGCTCTGAAAAAAAAATTATTTTGGTTTGTATTTTATTCTCTTCTGCTAATATTAATTTAAAACAGTGATTTAGATTACAATTTTAAAAATAGCCTCAACACCTCAACTGAGAGAAAAGAATCTTCTGGGGCTAACTAATTGCCTGTGTATTTTGTCTAGGTGTTGAGGGAAAGCTAAGAGAATGAAGGCTCTAAATCTGCAGTGGAAGCATGATATGGCGAAGCAGAGCTGGTGCTGAATTGTTCTCTCTGATGGCTCTATGGGAGTGGATAGCACTGAGTCTTCATTGCTGGGTTTTAGCGGTTGCTGCTGTTTCGGATCAGCATGCCACAAGCCCCTTCGACTGGCTCCTCTCTGATAAGGGACCCTTCCATCGCTCACAGGAATACACAGATTTTGTGGACAGAAGCCGGCAGGGATTTAGCACAAGATACAAGATATACAGGTATGAAGCAAAGGGAAAGCAATTACAGAAATATCATCCTTGAAGGTTGTGTATAAATAAGTTTCTCTAAGGGAAAGTTTCAGATGGGAAGGCGTTATTATCAGAAGGGTTGATACTTTCTGTGCACCGTAGTAATGTTTTCTTGCTATTCAAAAATATTTCTTATAGATGTAATGTATTATGATAAAAATAGATAATGGTGACCACTTGTATATCACTCCCAAATTTTACTATGTTGCACTGCCTTAAAGTCAATGGTAATGTACTTGGAAGCCAAGTTTCTTATCTTAAATAGCCAAAAATTTAAAGTGAATTTTTAAAAATTGCTTTTCCTTTCTACCTTATACCATGCTATGTTACCTTTTTCAGCCTAAATGGAAATGGTATCTTCTACTAGTCACTGAGAAGTTGAGTCACCTCATCCTTTTTTACCTGAAAGGTAATTGTACGTTCAGAAGCTAAAGGAATCAGCAAGGAAATAAAAAGTAGCAGATAAATACAGTAGCAGACATGATAGCAAAGCTCAAAGCAATGGAGGGGATTAAGATCTATGGTCTTTAACATTTATCCATGTTCTGTGTTTAAAATCTAGATAAGTTACATAAAAAGAGTCATAGATTAAATCCAACAAACGTTGCCTGCTCCTGTAATGTCCCTTGAATCCATTAAATAGAAGAGTGTACAAGTGGTTGCCTGATGGGTTAGGTTGTATTGATCTATGCCGTTAAGAACATTTTATGTAAAGTTATCACTTCAGTTTGTTGTTTGGTGATGAGCTTTCACAATTCCTAGTTATTGGTTTAACATTTATGAAGAAGCACATTTGTTTTGTCTTTTTGTGTATTGGTATCTATGTAGATAGTCCTATATAAATATTTTATTTCATGTTGTATGTGCATCAGAGGGCACTGTGCTTCATGTCTGTGTGTAGTCATTTACACAGCATTATGAGAAATTTATAAATCCTATCCACAATGTATATTTACAGAAGAGTCTGAGTGTCCTGGACAAGTTCCATGAAGCATCACACAATTGTTGCTATGCCTTTTTAAAAGTAAAAATCCCTTATTCCATGCAGCCATAGCACTGTCATAAGCCTAATGAAAAGGTTTACTCTATTTAAAAAAAATGAAATGATGAGGCTGGGCGGGGTGGCTCACACCTGTAATCCCAGCACTTCCGGAGGCTGAGCCAGGCAGATCATGAAGTCAGGAGATCAAGGCCATTCTGGCTAACATGGTGAAACCCTGTCTCTACTAAAAAAAAAAAAAATTAGCTGGGCATGGTGGCATGCACCTGCAGTCCCAGCTATTCGGGAGGCTGAGTCAGGAGAATCACTTGAACTCGGGAGGCTGAGGTTTCAGTGAGCCAAGATCGAGCCACTATACTCAGCCTGAGGGACAGAGGAGACTCCGTCTCAAAAAAAAAAAAAAAAATTCTAAAGATTTTCTTTCTGAAATGCAGCAGAAATTTTCAATATTTTATGACTCCAGGTTAATTCATTCTTCATTCTTCTGTGTATTTGTTGATTTAGGCAGTTTTTCTTCACACATTGTGTGAAACTACCTAAATTTCGGATTATAAGAATGTGTTATATTTTAGCACTGTGCAAGAGGATTTTTGACAGTCTGTCAGACAAACTGATGCCAGAGCATGTCTCCATGATCTATTGGCATTTGTATCTGGAGGTCTAAAGTGCTGTCTCATGTGTGATTGTTGTGGTTTAGCTTGTCGGTCAATCAGCTGTGAGTTGCGAACCTGGCTTGACATGCTTTTTGTTTGTATTTGCTTTTTTTGTTTTTGTTTTTTTGAGATTGAGCCTTGATCTGTCGCCCAGGCTGAAGTGCAGTGGCATGATCTCGAAGTGCAGTGACATGATCTTGACTCACGGCAACCTCTGCCTCACCAGTTTAAGCAAATCTCCTGCCTCAGCCTCCTGAGTAGCTGGGATTACAGGAGCCCACTATCCTAATTTTTGTATTTTTGGTAAAGACGATGTTTCACCATGTTGGCTAGGTTGGTCTTGAACTCCTGACCTTAAGTGATCTTCCCGCCTCGGCCTCCCAAAGTGTTGGGATTACAGGCATGAGCCACTGCGCCCCACCTGCTTGACATGTTTTTAGAGGTGCTGGGTTGAATGAAAGAGGCATTATTTGAATCACAGATGTTAAAGGTAATGAAAAATGTGCTTTGAGGTATATTTGCAAGGCTCGTATATTCTGTTTGGTTTTATGCAACTCTTTTCCTGAAGACCTTCATTAGCCCTGTGCTACTTATCCTTCCTATGTCTTTAACTTTGTGACTTGAATAAACATGTAAGGATATTAAATGTATTTATAAACAGTGGAGCTAGGTTATAACTTCTTATGAACCCTTTTAAACATTGCAAACGATGCTATGATCATTGACAGTTGCCATAAAATGAACAATATAATTTATTCATTAGGGTACCTTTAGTCATAGTAAGGTGAATTTTGTCTTTATTTATTTATTTATTTATTTTTTGAGATGGAGTTTTGCTCTTGTTACCCAGGCTGGAGTGCAATGGTGTGATCTCGGCTCACCACAACCTCCGCCTCCTGGGTTCAGGGAATTCTCCTGCCTCAGCCTCCTGAGTAGCTGGGATTACAGGCACGCGCCACCATGCCCAGCTAATTTTTGTATTTTTAGTAGAGACGGGGTTTCACCATGTTGATCAGGATGGTGTCTATATCTTGACCTCGTGATCCACCCGCCTTGGCCTCCCAAAGTGCTGGGATTACAGGCGTGAGCCACTGCGCCCGGCCGTGAAATTTGTCTTTAATATTTATCTTTGAAATATAATTTTAAAGGGTTCATTTTTCATTAATGTTTGCCATAAAATATGGAATTTGTGAGTACTTAAAACACATACATGTTAAATTAATGTTTTCCATATTTAAGTACTTGACTTGTCTTTTTAAAGATTCTAATTTCCTAAGGTGATCAGCCCAATTCTACGAGTGCTTGTTAATCACTTTCATCACCACGTTTATGGGGAATATTGCACTGACCTCTTCCTAACTTCTACCATTCTTTGGTTGGCCACATGTGCAAGTGAATTATGGGAAAATGACGATGATTTTCTTATTTTTAAAAATAATATACAGACATGTCATATTATCAAAACTTGGTGTGCTTCTTCAGACCACTTATTCAAAGAATGCTCCAAATTTGAGACTAGGAGACAATTGAGATAAATACTATGTTCCTTGAAAAAAAATTCTATTTAAAAAATGACTAATAAAAGACAATAGTTTAAAAAAAGTTAAACAACTATATGGTCACTTTCTTTTTCTTTTCTTTTCTTTTTTTTTTTTTTGAGACGGAGTTTCGCGCTTGTTACCCAGGCTGGAGTGCAATGGCGCGATCTCGGCTCACCGCAACCTCCGCCTCCTGGGTTCAGGCAATTCTCCTGCCTCAGCCTCCTGAGTAGCTGGGATTACAGGCACACACCACCATGCCCAGCTAATTTTTTGTATTTTTAGTAGAGACGGGGTTTCACCATGTTGACCAGGATGGTCTCGATCTCTTGACCTCGTGATCCACCCGCCTCGGCCTCCCAAAGTGCTGGGATTACAGGCTTGAGCCACCGCGCCCGGCCTATATGGTCACTTTCTATGTAACAGGATTATAATGAAATAATGTGTGGAAAAGAGTAAACCTCTGAATAAATGGTTCTTTGGATCCATATGAGAAAAGCATAAATTGAATTCCTTCTTTATAGCATGTACATAACCCTGTTTTTATATGAAATAAAGATCTAGGCTGAGGCAGGAGAATTGCCTGAACCCAGGAGGTGGAGGCTGCAGTGAGCCAAGATCGCGCCATTGCACTCCAGCCTGGGTAACAAGAGCGAAACTCCGTCTTAAAAGAAAAAAAAAAAAGAAAAGAAAAGAAAGAAAGAAAGAAAGAAAGAAAAAGAAATAAAGATCTAAACAGGAAAGGCAGAAATATTAAGTTTCTAGAAGACAACAGAGGAAAACAACTTCATAATACTGGGATAGTTGAGAATCCATTTAAATACAAGATATTATGAATTAAAATACAAGTATTCTTAATCAGGAGTAAGAATTGAACAGGTATTTACTGATAACGAGTTATTTTTAAGAAGGTATATATTTTTTTAATAATACAAACGATGAAGATTCTGGTGTAAAATGTCTTTAAAGTAGCAATCCGGATACAAATCACTTCAAACTTCCTATTAAAATACTGTATTAATTATCAGGAGGGAAATGAAAACTCATAACAGCACAGAAAATTATGGTGAATATGTAACTTTCTGCAAAAATAGGGGAGACATTTAAATAGTTATAAACTTCTTGTAAGCTATAAGACTAGCAAAACAGATTTTAATACTTAAGATGAGCAAGCCCACGTGCCTCAACAATGGTGGCATTTACCCTAAATGCAGAAGAGCGCTGTATCATTACCATCAGCTAACTGCTCAGAAGCCCAGAGTTGGCTCCTAATAGGAACTATGCAGCTCTCTCTCTGTGACAGGATCCTACCTTGAGATGTAGCCATGGTCAAATGATCTCTCTCTCTCTCACCATGTTTGGAGCTGGTACATGGCAAGAATAATGTGGTAGGAAGAGAGTTTCCAAACAAAGATGCCCCGTGTAATATTTGAGACACACTTACCAAAAAACAAAGAGAAAATATTTTCCCATCTATTTAAATTCTAATTTATTTATTTGTCATGTATTTTTATATGCTAAATTTAGCAACCCTAGAAGGAAATATGTGAATACTAATATTAATTATTACATATCAATGACAAGGAACAAGGACTTCCAGAAGTAAATTAGGAACAGGAAGAGGATTAACCTTTAATGTAGTTAATGTCGTTTCTCCTGGACTTTGTTGTTCACATTGTCAGAGAAATGAATGTTAGGGTAAATTCTCCCTCACCTATATACTAATAATTAAGCCCAAACCTCTACACATCCGTAGACTCCCTCGCAAACCAAAGAAGA